CTTTTTCATGTGACATGTCTAATGTTACGCTTACATTTGTTTTGGACTTTGGCCACTGTCAGTTCTATATTTTTTATAAAGTTTTGGTTTCTTAGTGTGATAAATCTGTGTATATAGTCTATATAATGTGGTAAATGCACCTAGCAGATATGACTTGATATGAAATCGCACATGTTTAAGGCCCTGTTACACGGTGCAATTTTTCATGCAACTTGTCTCGCAATGTTTAAAAAAAGATTTTGATAATGCATTGCAAGAGGTGTTACACGCTGCAATGATTTTCATGCAACTCGCAACGATAGGGGACAGAGGCATGCGAAGAGACTAGGGAGAGGCGCTATTTGGCGCCAAATTTTAATTAAAGTAAAGCGCGTAATGGGGTGAGCCAATAGGAACTCTACAGGCTGTAAACATTGCGAGACAAGTTGCACGAAGCCATGTTACACGCTGCAATGCTAAAAATAATTAGTGCAATCGTTGCCAAAAGTAGAACCGACTTCTACTCTGTGCAATGCTTCATGCAACTTGTCTCGCAACGATTTTGACCATTGCAAGGCATGTTAAACGGTGCAATGACTCGTGCAACTTGTCTCGCAACGCCATTGCGAGACAAGTTGCATGAAAAATTGCACCGTGTAACAGGGCCTTTAATATCTGTCACCTCTGATTGCCCTTTAACCCCTGGTCTTTGCTACTTCAATCTTTGCTACTTCAATATATATTGCTTCTTGTCCTTCTTTTCAGTTCCATTCACAGCTCACTAGTCGCTGCGAGCATAGGCTGCGAGTAATCACTGTGCTTGATATAATTTGTACTCTTTACTGTGGTTCTATTTGCTTTTGATGCCCCAGCAATCCCTACCTTGCAGGTACCCTAGTTTAATATTTAGCACGCTACATTCTCCTGTCGGCCGCCAGTTGGTCCGTACGTTAGAGTCGAAACTGCGTTTTAAAGCCTTCAAAATAAAATATTTTGGGCTCAAAATACTATCAAAATGAAGAGAAAAGTGAGACGAATCCACTGACATACGGCCGAAAACGAGAAAACCCAACAATTCCGAAGTTATCAAGGATCAATCGGACTGCATTTTGAATTAGTTTAGTAATTTTGAGCGATTTGTAAACAATACAATTTCGCTTATTAAAACTGCACATTAAAAGCTTCAAAATATAATATTTTGGGCTCAAACTACTAACAAAATAAAGAGAAAAGTGAGATGAATCCACTGGTATACGGCCGAAAAAGAGAAAACCAACAATACGAAAGTTATCAAGGTCAAATGTATTGCACTTTGAGCGATTTGTGAACAATACAATTTCGCTTGTCTTTCAAAGGCCATAAATCGCTAGAATACTGTAGTTTATTTGACATCTGTGAGTATAATTTCTTACACTGAATCGAACGGTGGTATTTTTGTCTTTATTGGGCGCATAAAACCAGAGATAAGACGCAGCAAAAAGTCAATCGTGAGAGTTCGAGTTGTAATTCGAAAGAAAACTTTCCTCGAAAAAAGGAATTCGGAAAACGTGAAGGATTATTTTGAGCGGCTTTTGTCTTTCAAAGGCAACAAATACCTAGAATAGAAGTCAATTTTGAAATCAAGTTTTCCATCCGTAAACACAACTTTTCACGTTGATTCGAACAGTGGTATTTTTGTCCTTGTTTGACGCATAAAACCAAAGATAAAGCTGAGCAAACTGTCGATCATCATGAGTGTACACGATTAATAATAATTAATAAATTCCGAGCACGTGCAAGGAATTTTTGGTAGGCGATTAAGGAAACGTATTGATGCGAACAAACTAACAAACAAACAAACGGACAAACGGACAAACTAACAAACTCACAGGCAGAATATAATGCGGTGCCAAAAATGGCACGGGCACCGCAATTAAAGGAAAGTTTCAGTTTAAATTAAATTTGAACAATACGAGATCTTATTTATAAGTATAAAATGAACAGTCAATTTTTTGGGGGGAACAAATTTAAAAAATATACCATGTCATGGCATGGCCCTAGACGTTTTTGTGGTGCTTGTGGGAGCGATTCTATGAACACAAGATGGTATTAATATTGTTTGTTTCCATAGCTTTTCGTGACCCTGAATATGCCGTTCACTGCTAACAATGACAAGGTTTTATATCCAAAGTGTGTGATATCCTTATTAGTTATGTAGGTTTTGAGATTTAAGACATTTTGGTTGCTGAGTGTAGTATAAACAAGAATTGTTTTTGAACTGACTCATGATTCATTGACTCATAACTCATAGACTCATTCGACTCATAAAACAGGCAACCTCAGTTTCTAGTGACGGTGCGACTTCCAGGTGTATTGCACGAGTGGTCATACACGTAAAAATGCATCCCCATCTTTTAGGCGTAGATCGACCTTGTCTTATTAACAAAGGTCCGAACATGTCAATTCCCACGTAAGTGAATGGTGGTTCGTACGCCATAACCTGACATGGTGGTCAAGGTGCCATTTGTTGTTGGAGCTTTGGAGCGTGTCCCCTTCTACAGACAAAACATTTGTTGATAATCTTCCGAACCAGGGAACGAGCATTACAGATCCAATTTTAACTCTCTGGCGTAATATACTCAAGGTATGCTCTTGACCAATATGGGCATTACGACAATGGACGTGTCTTCCCAACAGCTCTGATACCCAATGTTGTTTTGGTAGGATTGGTGCAAACTTCGCATTGTAGCTTATATGAGCGTATTCTAATCTGCTTCCCACTCGAATAATATTGTTCTCACCAATAAAGGGATTGAGCTTCGCGATACTGCTTGATATGTTTACTTGATATCTTTACTGGGGGGGCTAAATTTTTTCGGCGACCTCCCCCCCCCCCCGTCGCCAAAAAAATTTCGGTCAGTGTACCACTTTAGGGGTACAATATACAAAAAAAAGGGACGAAAAAAATTTTTTCGGACTTATATCAAAAAATTTTTCCGGAAATACACTTTTTTTAAACAAAATATTGCAAATTTGTCCCCTTATACCTAAATTTTCAAAAAATAACCTAAATTTTTCCCTAATTATCAAAATTTTTTCCAAAAATTTAAATTTTCTGGGGGGGCTAAGCCCCCCCACTTTTTATTCTGGGGGTGCTTTAGCCCCCCTAGCCCCCCTGTTCCGCCGCTCCTGGACGTCGGGGTGTGTGTGTGGGGGGTGTAACACCCCCCCCCCCAATAATTCAAACGTTGGTCAAAGTTGGTCAAAATGGAACTGATATTTCTTAAATTTGAAGATAAAACTGGGAAAAATTTGGTCAAAGTTAGGGATAAAAGAAGGTCGAAGTTGCCCAAAGTTATGAAATGGTTCGCAATTTTGACAATTTTAAAGCTTTTGTTATGTTTGCGGTGAAAAATTGGAAGCCTTGCTTATCTTGGTCGAAAAATTTTGAATATGATTATGTTAGTCCGCCCCCCCTCCCCCCCGTCGACAACATTTTAGGGAAAAATTTGTACGACTTGGTCGAAATCCTAGGAAATGTTGGTCAAAACATGACGACACCCCCCATGTTGATGGCTTCGCGACGTCCCTGGATGAAGGCGACGACTCAAGAGAAACGTAAATCTCGTCAGCCACACGATCTTTGCCTTGAGCACGTTCCATGATGAATATCTTTCTAATAGTTCGTATATAGCTGGTCTTTTTACTTCAACCACTACATGCATTGGATTAGATTAGAATTTCAGGATCTTCCTCTTCTATATCTTTCCGCCGGATTTGTCTGTGGCCAACTCGATTCAGGACCTTTTAAAAATGACGGACCAACCAACCAACGACACTCAGATGTCATTTCCGATGGTTTCAATCCACGAGAGGCGTCATCACTCGGATTCTCTTTACTTGGGCAATATCTCCACTGTTGCACTTCGGATTTTTCTCTGATTTCGGCTATACGATTACCAACATATACGGTAAATCTTTTGTCTTCATTCTGAATGTATTTTAGCACAACTTCTGAATCGGTCCAGTAGCAAATCTTGCTAAATGTTATTTCAATTTCACGCTGTACTATCTCGCTGATTCGAACCAATAATACCGCTGCTTGTAACTCTAGGCGTGGTATGGATATCTTTCGCAATGGTGCGGTGCGAGATTTACCAAATACAAGTGAACACTTCACTCTTCCATCGATAAACTCAGTTCGAAGATACGATGCAGATCCGTAACCAATTTCACTGTCATCAGAAAAGTTGTGAAGTTGGACTTCCTTGACGCACTTTGTCATATCACAATCCTTAACCTTGTTGGTAGCAGCTACGGTGGTCTTGTAACAACGTGGAATCTTGATTTTCGAAAGGGCTGAAAGATTATTCTCCCACCGTCTCCAGTCTCCTAATTCGGCTTCAGCAAGTTGCTCGTCCCAATCAACTTTCTTTTGCCAAAGTTTCTGTAGTAGTGACTTACCTAATAATGTTACTGGCGCGGCGAATCCCATTGGATCATACAATGAAGCGACGGTCGACAAGATTCCTCTCTTCGTCTCTGATTTATCTACGTCGATCACCTTGAATTCAAATGTGTCTTCTTCAACGTTCCACTGAAGTCCGAGAGCCCGTAATATCGGCAAGTTATCTAGGTCTAAATTCAACATTGGATTTGCTCGCTCTGACTCCGGTATAGAAGCTAGGACCTCCTTGCTTAACTTATCCATTTAGTTAAACGGAATCCTCCTCTTCTGAGAAGTTTCATTAAGTCGCTGGCAAAAATCTTTTTCCACGGCATTCACTGCTGCTCCACTGAAGTCACAAGCGTTATCTCTCGCCGTTTTCTTCAATGCGTAGTTGGCAATAGACGGGGAATCTTTAGCTCCGAATATGTGAACGTTCATATGGTATTCTTCTCGATCATCTAAGTTGTTTGAGGACCAAAGGAACCTCAACGATTCTCGATCTTCTCGAATTCGGGGACTTTCACCTGGTGAAACATTTCTTGGATGTCAGCTGCAGTAGCCACTTCTTCTTTGCGAAACCTCAATAAGCACTTCGATTATCTCGTTAGCCAAGTTAGGCCCATGGAGAAGTTCGTAATTGTTTAGCAATGTGATTGGATGAAAGTGTTCATGCATGCACTCGCAGCGAGGAGCTTCGTGCGAGGACTGGAAATCCGCCTTAAGCTTAGTACAGCAAAGTTGTTGGACGAATCCATGGCTGAAAACGCAGGAAATAGCATTTCAGAGGTTCAAATTTTAAAATTTTCTCGTGGGAGCACGCCCCGGAACCCCCCAAGGTTACAGGTGTTTCGTATACTGTACCCTCCCCCCATTTTCGAGTACTCTACTCTATTCCTGCATGTTTTAGGTCTTGGTGCAGTTATACATTTTTTTGTAAGTAAACATGCACGTTTTAGTGTGGGGAACAGTAAGACATAACCATATAAAATAAAGCACAGTGAAAATTCCTTGGCCCCTCTTGGGATTTTCTCGGCCTCCTCTGATTGAAAACCCCGGCTACGTCTCTGACGATATACTGACGGCTATACTGAAAGCCTTAAGTTACTGTAAGCCGTTATTATGAGCTCGAGAAGCAAAATAAAAATTTCCTGCCTCGATATATATTGGGAAAAAATATTTTACGCTGCACTTTTACAGGAAAAAAATATCTGTCTTGTTCGCCTGGGCAGAAAAAAAAATTCTCTCAGTCTCTCACGTTAGTTCAAGGAAATTTCAGGAGAGTTAAGAAGTTGAGTGTGGTCGTTGGGGAAAGTGGGCGTGGTTTGAACATAACTCTCTGAAATCACAACTCTCCGGTTGGTAACTCTTCATTTAGTCATACCCCAAATATAAGATAAAAAATGATTAAATCTGAAAAAACAAGCTTTACTAAGTTTTCTCAAAAAACTGACAGAATCTTCATTGCCACAATCGTGAACGCGGAGAGTTAGAAAAAATGATAACTCTCTAACATCTTCATAATGTTAACTAGAGACGTTACGTCAAATATAACTCTCTCATGTTAATTCAAGGAAACGTCAAGAGAGTTAAGAAATTGGGTGTGGTCGTTGGGGAAAGTGGGCGTGGTTTGGGCGTGGTTTGAACGTAACTCTCCAAAATCATAACTCTCCGGTTGGAAATTCTCCCTTTTATAGTCATACCCATAAACCTGAGATAAATCAAAAGTTAAGATTACAAACAAAATAAATCTATGCAACCAAACTAAAACCTTTCAGCCTCGACTGGACCGTTTTATTACAGCATGTCATGTAATCGTATAGCTAGTAATCGTATTTAAGAAATATTTTCCGGAAGAGATTATTTCGCTGGCCTCAGAGTGACAAAACGTAACAAAGCAACGTACGGGTTTACGAACACTAACCCTACTCCAAACACCAACTCTAACCATAACCCTAATCCTTACCCTAACCTAACCCTACTCCAAATTTGTTTCTAAACCAATCTTGAAGAAAAAAGTTTTGACGAAATGTCATTCTGAGGTCAGCGAAATAGTTGATGCCATATTTCCCATAATATTTCCCATGCGGATAATGCGGAAACAACTCATGCGCGAAAATGCGCGAAATGATTAAGTGGAAACACGCAATCCAAGAAATCCCAAAGGCGCGATCATCTGTGTGGGCGAGATTCTGCCTCGTCCCCAGTCGCTTGCTATCAAATAATTAATTACTAAAAGACGAAAATTAATGGGGGCGCGCGGGACGATGGGAAGGGGAGGAGTTGCGAAGCGACTGGCAAATCTTGCATTCAAGATGGTGTCCGCTGCAATGGCGGACGAAGGATTGTCGTCCGGTTCATATTTGCATTTCCGACTTTGTAGTGGGGAAGATTAAAATATCTCGGCAAGTATTTGCTCACCCTTTAAAACGAAAACCACCATTGAAATCCTCATAAAATAACCTTTCGAACGGAGGGTCAAATGCCGTCATAACATGACACAAACCAAAACAATCGTATATTTACTTGCCGCTTGGCCAAACATTCTTATTTCATATCGAGAAAAACTTGAATATCTTCTAAACTCTTCAGAATTCGCCCAAGTCAATAGCAGTAAAATATTCCTTGTATTCAAGCGATTTTATGTAGAGAGTTTCGTTTCAATACGACGAGCAGAAATATTTATTTTGAATTTTTCAAAATATCAGGTTTCTACTCGCACGCGTATGCCACCGGCTGAAATTTAGATATTTTTAAATACCGAAATAAAAGATACAAATCTGCGGATACAAGCTGGAAAATAACACTCTAAATAGTGTGTTGGATTGATTCGAACAAGACTAATACGAAAAAGATACGTTGAAAGGAGCCGAAGTTATATTCGGCGAAAGGTATGGCTTAGTGATACATGGCCATACATTGTTTACGTTGTTCGAGTATATTGTATATAGGTATGGTATGGCTATTTTACATTGTTCGAGTATCGCTAGTTTATATTTTATGGCTATCTACAGTGTTCGAATATATAGTTTCTTTCAAGCGGAATTTTTTGGTGGTATTTTCGTATTTCTTCGTATTTCTCAGCATTTAGCCCATTTGCAGATTTTCGAGTAAATTCGCAGATTTTCGAGTCACGATTTGGCAGGCCCTTATTTTAATTTTTTTCGTCTTCCCAGCATGCATCACAACAGATTTGTTCAGCCACTGATCTATATATTAAACTGATATGTCTATATATACCACAGGGGGTCTAACTAACAGCTGTGTTATGAATAAAACATATTAATTAAACGTAATATGAATAAAACATCATAACGTAATATTGCACTTACTTGTATAAATCATAAGAGCTTGCATTTTAATACAGTGAATAGCTTCAAAAACTTGCTTCGTTCCAAAGACTTCAAATATGGCGAATAAATTGACAAAACGATAATATTACATGACGTTCCAACGAAAATAACAGAAAGGATTGCGGGCGCGAGCGGAAAGGCGAGGAAAGAAATAAATAGAAGGGATGAAACAAATATCACGTGACTTTTTAAAATGCTTCTAGACTATCCGTTTAAGCTTGTTGTGGGGTTTTTAAGGCTCAGTCGATGTTCTCTTACATGAACAAGCCTAGTCATTACCAAAAAAGCACTGATCAATCTAATTTATGTCATTTATAACAGCGAGCATTCTTGGCCATTATCGCGAGATGTGTTCCATAAGTAGCCTGTTCTCGTGACGTATGACAAAATAATAATAAAACTAAATAATGTAAAAAAAAAACGTTGGTCGCTACATTTAAACATTTCATATTAGCCGGTATAGCTAAACATTGTTTATTTTCATTAATTAAGCGCGTAGGCGTTGTTGGAGTTGGCAGGAGGCGTTTTGGAATTTTCCGAGAGAACAGGCTACTTATGGAACACATCACACGATCGCATTACCGGTGTTTCATCCCTTCTATTAATATATATTACCCTCGCCTTCCGCTCGCGCCCGCAATCCTTTCTGTTATTTTCGTTGGAACGTCATGTAATATTATCGTTTTGTCAATTTATTCGCCATATTTGAAGTCTTTGGAACGAAGCAAGTTTTTGAAGCTATTCACTGTATTAAAATGCAAGCTCTTATGATTTATACAAGTAAGTGCAATATTACGTTATGATGTTTTATTCATATTACGTTTAATTAATATGTTTTATTCATAACACAGCTGTTAGTTGGACCCCCTGTAAGGGCCTGCGGAGGAGGCAGGGCGAGATTAGTGACTGGTTATTTGATACCGGTGGTTTACTGGTGGAGAAATTATGCAAAGTGAAAGTAAAAATGAAATCTTATATGTATATGGCACAAGTAAAATTCAGTTTTTATTTTATATAAATGGGCGGCAAAAAAAGTAAGCCAAAACCTCGAGAAACTAGTGCGAGACAATGCCAGAGATCGCTGCAAGAAGTGGCCCAAGCCGAACGCAATCACAAATTAAGACAGTACTTCCAGTTTGAGTTTGGCAAAGATAGCAAATTTCGGTTTCTATTGGAAGTAACCGATCCATCGGCGTATCCAGCAGAAAAACTACACAAATGGATTACAGAGCTGTTGGGACCTTTGGGGCGTTCCATTTTGGGCGTTCAATATTTAATAGACCCCAGGAGTACGCCACTTGCTGTTGTTTATTGTAAAGATTTCGAGACAGTACAGTGTGCATGGTTGCGTTTAAAGAACAAAGAGTTGCCCAGTGGTATTTATATAGGTACATGTATGCCTTCACAAAATGAAACTGAAACAAGAGCTTCAGCTGTTGCAGGCGTTGCAGGAAAAGTCAATGAGGAGAATTATGATTTGCATGAGGACAAGGTATTATTATGTACTAGTATAAAGTTGAAACCTCGACCCCCGGGACAGGGCGGGGGATTTAACATTTTGACAGTGTTAAATATTGGTATTTACCCGCTACCCAGGGAATATTGACTGTAAAAGGAGGGCCCCCTATACCTCTTCACACGGCTAAGTAAAATAAGCCCTTCACGCTTCACGCAAAAGGTATAGGGGGCCCTCTAAAAGTTCCCACCCCAATGGCCCTGGTACTTTACATTTACAATTTCCCATGGCTGAAGGAAATTGTTGTACAGTCAAACAACAGCTGGGCATTCTGTTGTCGCTGTCTAAATATTGCAGGCGCATTTCTTTAACAAACATTTTGATTCTTCGAACGCTGAAAATATGCATTGTGAGAGGATTTTTGTCCTCTTTCACTGGTTTGTTCATGGAAAATAAATTGTTTCTTGAAAGATTAAGTTGTAGTGCTTGTACGCAACGATATAACGACTTAGGGCCATTCCATTTAAAATCCACACCCCCCCTACGGATGAGGTCAGTAAAATTTTAACCCCTAAGAAAAAAAGATCAAAGTGCCGACACAAAACACCCCTCAGAAATTTGTGAATTTTCCCCTTACCCCTCAGAAAAATCGCAGAGATCAAAGGATGCTGACAGGCTTAACCCCTGAGAAACAACTTTTTGAGTCACCCTTCAGAAAAACTCATCCGTAGGGGGGGGGGGGTGGACATTAAATGGAATGGCCCTTAATCGCATGAAAACGTGCGAAGAATCTTTATTTACAAATGGGCGACAAGTGGAAATATTTCACTCATTGTCAGAGTTTCAGAAGCAGGGTACAGCAGTATGGAAACAAGGAAGTGTTCATATTTTACTCTTGATAGAAGCTGAGTTGTTGTTGTTTCCACAGGTATGTTCAATAATTTGTTTGTCCTTCCTCATCTGGAATAATAAGTGTCTTAAAATATTTTGATGAACATGACACATATTCCTCTTGCAATTTCGTAAAAACTGGCTGTTGCCTTTAGTTAGAAAATATATTTTATGAAAGTTAAATCATGGGGAAAATGTGCTAGATGTTGTAATTGACAAATCCACTTGTGAAGTGAAAATGTCATGTTGTCACATGCTTATGAAATTGCTCCTGTATTGGTTTGTTATAAAGTAAAAATTGCTGCAAAAATGCTTTTGAAAATGTTCAAGTATTGGTTGTTATGAGATAGGAAATGCCGTATTGATTTGTTCAGTTTTAAGAGTCTAACGGCAATCCTGAATATAGGCATGCTTGCTTTGTGAAATTCTGTGGTGATATGACATATAAATAAAAATATCTTAAAATTTTGCCCATTGCCTCTCTCCGAAATATGGCTTAAAACTATCCTTATTAGTCAACCTTCATGGAAAAGTTAGTGGGTATGCTGGGAAAAATGCCCGTGATACTTTTTTTGGACACTGAAGATGGTAACATTTGATGTTGTCATATATTGCCATCCTCTTATCATAGCACAACTTAACTTATTTTAGTGAGTTTGTTAAAGAGTTTTGCTCACTATATGCCTGTAGTATCTAAGATTTTTTCATAGAATTATATGACAAATGTAAGTTCTGTTTTCTTTTAGTTTTAGGTGATAGTATCTGTTCACTTGAGTGTTGGTATCAAATTTTGGACAAGTTTCAATTATTATTTCACATTCCTTTATTTAAATATCCAAATAAATGGAATATGACATCAAGTTGGAGGACTAGATTCTGTTTCCAAACTTGTTTTTTGTAAAAGAGAAAATAACAACTTATTCTGTGTTGTTCTAATAAAAACTATTGTTTTTGATATGCATATTTAATTTTTAAAATTACAGTCATTCTTTGTTAAAATGTGTACCAATTCCCTTTATAACTTATGTAGCCAAGTGTTCTATCTATTTCTGTTCAGATTAAACAAATGATGGGTAAAATATTAGTTTTGCAGATTCTTTAAAAAAAAATGAGCTTGCCTATTTTCAAAGCATAAAAAGCAATAAAATAAAGCAAATTAAAGTACTTATTTTTAATTTAAAACCTTTGGATTGCTTAATGTTTTCCACTAAATGTTACAAAGTTTTCGTTCATTGAAATGTTGTTTTATCAGCTTTAAAACCAGATAAATCCACGAAGCACTCCTATAAATATATGTCGCCATATTGATTTTTTCGCGCATGCTCCGTACAAAATGCCCAGCTGTTCAGTCAAACCAGATGTTCTCTTGTGAGCAATATTGTCCCCACCATATTGCAGTTTTGATAGGCAGATTGCGTCCAGTGAACTCTAAGGGAACTGGAACGATAACTTGGCTGCCATCTTTGAAGCCACTCATGATATGGCCGCCCAGTGGTGAAGCCAGCGTCGTGTGAGCGGTCATGCAAACGAGCGCCAAAGGCGTGAGGCATCCTAGGGGGGTACGGAAGCAACCCGCCCCCCCCGGAAAATTTTTGAAATATAGACTCCCAGAAATGCCATTTGCAGCAATCTGAGCATCAAATTTCAGGAAATAGCTTGACCTAATGAAGGAAAAGATGTGGATATTTTGGCATATTTTAGGGGCGCACCAGATTTGGAATTTTCAAATCCGGCCAGAACCGGATTTACCGGATTTGGACAAAAATTCCGGCCGGATTTGAGATAAACCGGTAATGGGGACAATTGGGGATAAATCAGTATTCAAAATGGCGGTTTATGTTTTTTTCTATTTTTAGTTAGTGTCAGTTTAGATTTTTGATTGTGTTTAAACCTTTTTAAAATATATTTTTGTTAATAACTTATATTTTATAATAATATAAATGTTTTTTAAACTTCAGATTGATGGTTTATCCTATTCTTATTATCCTATTCACACTCACACGCATAAACACTATTTTCTCACGCAAAAGCAAAAAAATAGGAAGCGATCCAACTTTTGTTTTAACGCTTCTCTTCGCAAGCAAATATTCCTGTTTAGCTGAATCAATAGCTATATTTTTCGAGCAGTTGCTGTGTAACGTATAGTATTGCGTAAGTTGCACTATTGCGCAAATTAGTAAATTGACACTTAGTTAATGAGGGATTTCCCCAGACAACGCTTTATGTAAAATATAAACTGTAATCTTATTAATTTCGTGTGATGAATTAGCATTATTCGCGCGTGGGCATGATAACGCATTAAAAGCAGCTACATCTGCTACTTATGAATACAACAAAGCACATAAGCACAAGCTAAAACTCATTAATTACATTTAAATTTAGAATGACTTTTACTTTTTAAACAATATTAACGAAATAAAAAAATAAATGAAACTTATAATTGCATGCAGATGTCCAAAAAGTGTTACTTTTGAGATTTTTTAATGCCATTTTTGTACCTTTAGAATTCTGTTAATCTTCTCCCAAATTGCAGGAAATGGCATTTCAGAGACTCCAGATTTAAATATTTTCCGGGGGGGGCATGCCCCCGAACCCCCTAGGTCAACGCCTGCCGACAGCAGGCGCCAGCCTGCCGTCAGCGGGCTATATGAATCAGATTACAGGAAATAATTAAATCTCACTCATTTTCATGCCACAAAGTTGGAAGGTCTGGTACTATATCAGTGGTGGATTTAGGGGGGTGCACACCCCCCAGGCTGGCTCTGGTCAACAGGGGTGCATGGGGGGTGCAAAAATGACGTTTATCCTAATTCTAACCAACTTATATTAAGGAATACTGGAATTCAGTTGCGTATCACTAGTTGACAATAGCGGAATAGCCAATATTAAATATTCTGAATTTTTAAATGATTTTGGTGTGACCCGACTAATTCGTCATCAAATGCTGACGCCATGGCCCTAGCCAGTGCGCGTTTGAGAGGCATTCACCCCCCTGATAATATTCCAAATGGCGGAGGTCCAGGGGGGAATGCCTCTCAAACGCGCACTGGCGTCAGCATTTTGATGATGAATCATGGCGTGGCAGCGGTTACTCAAGTCAACCTTCTGTGTGCCTTTTTAAAATTTTTTTTTATTTACAATCCTTGTCAAATAAATGACAGGTTATATACCCACAGAGCAGAACACTCCTTTACGGGTTAACCTTAACTATTTATACAGAATACATATAAGTGATAATTATTAACAACACGATTTGACAGAGAGACTAATCTAAACAAGGGACGACATGAATGACATTTAACACAGATTGTTTTGAAAGTTTGTGGCACACCAATGTCATAAATTTCTTCAGTCATTTTCTGATAGTGATTAAAGAGAGTTTTTATTATAATATTTAAGCAGGGAGCCCATATCTCCAAGGAGTTTTTCAATGGGGCCCTAAACTAGATTACATTTACTGTCGTTCCAATTGAAGTGTTCCTCAAATATTGATTCAATACATTACCTCGGGCTGACCAATTCATTTCATGAAGTTCCTCGAGATATTCATAAGTGTCCTGTGAAAGAGCCAATTCCAAGTATTTGATCATTTCAGGTCACTTCCTTTCTATTTATGATTGGTTAGTTGCACAAACAACAAAGGTGATTGGTGCATTCAAACTATTCAACAGGAAGTTTACAATTATACTAGGAAGTGTATGAATATTTCGAGGAACTTGATGAAATGAATTGGTCAGCCCGAGGTAATGTATTGAATCAATATTTGAGGAACACTTCAATTGGAACGACAGTGAATTTGATTAATAGAGAGATTTGATTGACGTAAAACTTGATGGTAAACAGTTAATTCAGTATTAAACAGTAAACAGTTAATTTAATTTCGCAAACAAACACTTAACTCGAGATTACTCAAAGTTCTCAGAATACAACTTTACCAATGACCTAATTTCCCCGGCGTACTGGTTTGAATTATGTTGTTGATTTGAGCGAAAATGATATAAACAAATCGTTTTCAACATTTTACAATAAGTTAAATACAGTTATCAGAAAGCATGTACCCCTTATATTAGGGAAATTTCAAAGAGTAAAGCAAAGCATTTAACAAAACCATGGATAACTAAAGGTATCAGGAAATCAATTAAAATTAAGAATAGTTTATTTAATCGCGGTGACAAAGATAAATATAAATTCTATAGAAACAAAATTTTGACACTCACTCGCCAGAGCAAAAAGGACTATTATCATAGATATTTTGAGTACAACTTTGCAAACACCTGGGAAAGTATAAACGAATTAATCGGAAGAAACAGTCAACTAGACCTATCCCGTCTTTAAAATGTCCTATAAGCAACAGAATGATATATGACGAAAGTAAGTTTCCAAATATATTCAATAAATATTTTTCATCAGTGGGTCATAATTTAGCTAGTAAAATGCCAAATTCACAAATTCCATTCACAAATTATCTTCCAAAGATAAATAACCCAGGATCGTTTCAATTTAATCCTATCATGCCACACGAGATCGAAATAGAAATTATGTTAATTCCAATGAAAAAGGCACATGGCCTATATTCGTGCCCAACTCGTATTTTAAAATGCGCTAGACACATTTTATCCAATCCTTTATTAGTCTCATACGCAGCCTGTTCGCGGGTCCGAGGTTTTCTCCCTACTAACAGGCTGCTTACTGCAACAACACATTCCATTCCAATTGTTTCAACTTGACCAATCAGGAAACGGCAGACGTGGTTTCCCGCCAGATTCAGAAGTGACTATTCATTGCTAAACATATCTCGGTGTTTACTGCTGTTAAAAATATATTACACGCATGCTTGCAATAATCAACTTGTTTATATTCTATATGACGGGAGAAGTGCCCTTGGTATAGCTGATCTGATGAATAGATACCTTTTAATGAACTGCTTAGAACATCTTGAACTTTCATTTTTTAACCTATTATAGATTTTTACTAAAGTAGTTTTTGGACACAGGACACGCGTTGATAATAGCAATATTCTTGCTGAAGTGTTTTTATCCTGTTAAAATATTCGTATTATTATTATTATTATTATTATTGTCTGGCCTATTTTTCGTTCTTTTTAATCTTGAAATACTTGTTCAATTTAATTTCAGTCAAAATTCCAGAAACAGGACTACCCCTATAGCAGGGCATTTGACTGTGGTTTCTGCCTGTTCGGGCGGGCATTTGACCAATTATTTTTTCAAAAGTCAAATTTCCCGGGGGTTGCCGGGGGGGGGGGGCTGATCGCGGTTGGATTTGACTCGTACATAATCTCGCTCGACTGAGGTTATAACGTACTTAATAATACACTTAAATACTACTGATATAGTTTTAGTTTTCATTTAGGCTTGTACAAAAAATATGCTGTAAAGCAAAAGTGCTCGCGGGTTTTATGAGTTCTCAGACTTCTATGGTTTCAAAAGTGCTCGGGTTTTATGCGTTCAATTAAGACCTTTTTACGAATTACATTGGTCTTTGCTTTTAAAAATTCACGTCAAACGTTGCTATAGTTTTAACTAGCAAATCAGTGTATAAATATTTTTATATTTTTGATTTCGTGTTAATTTGAATGCAGTAATTTGAAATTGACAACTTGTCGATTTCAAAATAGTTGTTGTTTACAAATTTGTATATTATATATTTTTATCTAATTTTGCTCATGTATAAAAAAGCAAAAAAGCTACTTAAAGCTACTTAGCCTTTCTATTTAGGCCTCTAGTTACCGTTCATCTGCGATAATTAAATCACATATAGTCAATTTATTATTTACAGTCAGTCAAAAGGCCTACAATATGTAAAATGAGACGTTTTGAAGAATATACACGTCTGTATTTACACCAGAGAAAAAGAAGGGCAATGTTCGTATTATATAAATTAATACTAATGTTGGCGATGCATTTAAATTTTTACAATCACTGGCCAACAATATATACTAAACTAAAGTGCTATAGCCTATATTACTAAAGTATATATTATATAAGTATGTTTTATCGTATGTCTTATGGTAATTGTCAATTGTGTATAGCATAAAGTGTTGTTTAATTTTAACTGCATTGTATCACATGATATAATTTGTCCTTTTATAACATTCGTGAAGTTTTGAAGCATTTCTCGTGTTATGACTTATGTTCATGAATTTTGTTGTTCGTCACAAAATAATTTTTAAAGAAATCTGGTAAATTATTAAGCTGGTGGTACCGAAACATAAATAAGGCAGTTAAATAGTCAATTATTTAAGAGCAATGCCTCTGGTGTTCCATAAACTACCGCTCTGGCATTATTCGTGGAACAGGCGATCGCATCACATGAGAGGCAAATCGATTTACTGAAGCCTGTAGTATAGGCGGGTTGACAAACACATCTCATTTTTCTTTAATTATTGTTCGAATCGCATTCTTCTGATGATCGTTGAAAGTAGAAATACGAAATAATGGGCGACTTCACACAATGCTTGATCATACGACGCCATCTTTGTTTCGGAATTAGTAAAATAAGCGCGAACGAGTTCCTGATTTTGGTACTCAGGCTGTGATTGGCTAAACAATCGGAATGGAATGTGTTGTTGCAGTAAGCAGCCTGTTAGTGGGGAGAAAACCTCGGACCCGCGAACAGGCTGCGTAGGAGACTAATCCTTTATCTGATTTAATGAATAAATCGGTTGAATGCGGCCAATATCCAGCCAAATTAAAACACTCAAAAGTTATCCCTATTTACAAAAAGGATGATGAAACCGATCCTTCTAATTATAGACCAATATCTCTTCTATCAATTTTTAACAAAATTTTTGAAACATTGATGTATAATCGTTTAAAATCTTTTTTTGAGAAACAGAATATCATATTTAAATCTCAGTATGGTTCTCGGGAAAAATATTCAACTCAGCATGCAATTTTAGATATAGTAAATCAAGTCCAATCTAACATGTCTCGTAAATTGTTCACTTGTGGTATTTTTATCGATTTGCAAAGGCATTTGACACTGTAAACTACTCAATACTTTTAGAAAAATTGCATCATTATGGAATAAGAGGCATTATAAACGATTGGTTTTCCTCTTACCTGTTAGGTCGTATCCAAACTATTCAAATGGGTGTAAATATATCTGAAAAAGAAGAAACTCTTTCTGGCGTTCCTCAGGGATCTCTCCTGGGACCGCTACTATTTTTAATTTATATAACTCCTCTGATAAACTGACGTTTTCCTTATTTGCAAATGACACCAACTTGCTATATGCTGACAAGAATTTAAAAACACTAGAAAATATTGTCAATGCTGAACTTCTTAATATCTATAACTGGTTAACAGCAAATAAATTATCCTTAAACATCAAAAAATGTAATATCATTATTTTTCATTCTTACCAAAAACGGCTGGATTATGCGGTAGATTTGAAGATGTATGATGCACAGTCCAATACTTTCGTCTCACTAGCAACTAAAAATTACATTAAATACCTTGGTGTTCTCATGGACTCAAATCTTTCATGGAAATTTCATATTGGGTACATCGCCTCTAATCTTAGCAAACGAATTGGCATAATTGCTAGGCTGCGTCATTTTGTACCAGTTAGTACTCTAATAAGTATCTATAAGTCCCTTATGCTGCCTTACCTAACTTATGGTATCGTTGTATGGGGACGTGCTACCAAATGCTACATTGATAAAATCCTTAAACTCCAAAAACGCGCTCTTCGTTTAATATATTATGCACACTATCTTTCTCATGCCATTCCTTATTTTCAGTCAGCTAATGTTCTGCCAATAAATTTGCTTTATTACAAATCAGTATCAATACTAATGCATGACGTATCAAAAACAGTAGTACCCCCAAATATTTCGGCTTTGTTTACCCCATTAAGTCAGGTACACGAACACAACACCAGTTCTTCCACTAGGAAGAACTTCCACGTTGAATATTCAGGTTTAGATGTGCAAAGCAAGTCATTCTCAAGAATGGGAGGTAGAATTTGGAATAGCATTCCTACAGAACTACGTGAAAAACCAAAGAATCACTTTAAAAAAGTTTTACATAGAAAGTTACTTTAAATATTAGAAAAGAAAGACGATTATATTGATATTCTAACAATACAAAAAGAAATCGCAATAATCTAAAAGTTAAATCATTTTACGATTTTGGACTTTAGTCTGATCATTCGTTAGAGTTTGTGTTTGATCACTCGTTAGAGATTATGTTTGTATATATGGTGAATGTATTTCTATCGTATGCCTTTTGGTGATGAATAGTGCTTGTATTTACTAAATGAATACTGAAATCTTCTTTAATTCCGAATGTGTGTAGTTGCTGTCCACCACGATTAGCTTTTGCTACTTGTGGACAGCAAGATTTTTATTGATTTTGTAAATTAGTTTGACATAATAAATTGAATTGAATTGAATTGAATTCAATAAAAACTGTTTTGAAATGTTAATGTATTTGCACGGGGAATATGTAATGTAATTTGAGCTGTTCCATGACTGTTTTCCCTGGTCACGTGACAAGTTGTCTTTATTTGGATGTTCTGGTCCTGGGATGAAACAAGCATTTTGTACAGATATACGATATCAAGATATTCATGCAATCATGCCAGTATGACAGTGGTAACAGACCAGTTTTTATGAGTCTCTCTTTGTATGATATACCCGACATGAATGGTAATGATAGAATATATCTGGTTGCGCGGCGTTGAACGTTTTCAATTTGAAGTATCAGTGATACCGATTGTGACACAGAATACTACACAGAAGTCCATCTCCATTGTTTTTTTTGCGTAAGCGCTATTTGTCATGATTCGTCACTCAGCAAGTACCGTAAACAGAAGCAGTCACCCCCCTGGACGTTCGCCATTTTTAGTATTTCCAGGGGGGGACTGCTTCTGTTTACGGTACTTGCTGAGTGACGAATCATGACGAATAGCGCTTACGCAAAAAACAATGGAGATGGACTTCTGTGTAGTATTTTGTGATTGTGGTGACCAGACTTGTGTACAATATGCCAACTGACTTCTAACCATGGTCTTGTGCAGAGCAAGGAGAGTTTTCTCATTACGGATGTCCAGTGAAGATCTTTTGATGTAGCCAAGCATTTTGTTAGCTTTGGCAAAGACCGTAGACACATGCTGGTTCCATTTCAAGTCGGATGAGATCACAACACCGAGATCTTTCTGAACATTTGTTTTGCTGATTGGGATGTCCTTAAGGAGGTAGCTGAACTTTACTGGCTTAACATTTCTAGTCACAGAGAGAACTTCACATTTAGATTTATTTACGTCCATTCGCCATTCTTGGCACCATTCATTAACACCATCCAGATCGTTTTGGAGATACTGAGCGTCTTTTAAAGTTCTGACTGCACGATAATAACATTTAGTATCATCAGCGTACATTGCTATAGAAGATGAAGATGTTGCTTGAGGAAGGTCGTTCACGTAGAGAAGAAACAACAAAGGTCCAAGTATTGAACCCTGGAAAGTACGGGGAGTGGATGAGAGGTCTTTCCAAGCACGGTTACTCTTTGATGGCGATTTGAGAGGTAGTCTTCAAACCAATTCAACAGAGTTCCGCTGATTCCAATATTCTTCAACTTATTGACCATCAGTCGATGATCAACTCTATCAAAGGCTTTTGCGAAGTCGAGATAAACCATCTGTGACCAAGGCGTCAAAAACAGCCGAATTGCGCGTGCGCGAACGTCGTAAGCCAATCAGAAACCAACAAACCTAATATAAAATAATATAGCTAGTCATGAAATTCTGAAAATGCATGACCAAAACACACAGCAAACAAACCACGCAGCAATCACACGCAATCGTTTTCCACGCTCTTACGCAACCAGTCATGCATGTGAAAATATGCAGGACCGCTCAGTTGCCAAGGTAACAGCCAAAACAATAACATACGAGAATATTTAGCGAAAATATCGCCTAAAGACCATTGATTTGGGTAAACAAAATAATAAATAAAATACTTAGGCGTAGAAGTGCAAAGGTAAAGTATAATTCTATTGTAAACAGTTATACTGAACTGATTTTTTAACAGACCGCTGGCTTCGCCACTGGGCCTATGACAATGATTCGACCATATTTAGAATCGCCAAATTACAGCGATTCCAAATATATATATATATATAAATGATCTGCGTTTCATCAAAATGATCGACGAAATTTTTATTTTTTCATTTTTGTCAAATCTTGACACTTTGTTCTGCAATTTATGCCAGGCTCCAAACCCGTCCCCTGCCTGCATCGCGCCGCGAACCCGCGCGTCTGAGTTGGAGCCTGGGGACGAGGCTGATAAAAACAGTCATTGGCAATAAGCCAGCTCCCAGGGCATCTAACGTAGTCGTCCTCCCAGCATAAAGATCTAAAATTCTCCTTTCAAACAAATCAATCTTACAAATCGGTAACCAAAGGTGCCACAGATTGTTTGAATTTTAAATTCAATATACTCTCGGAGTACATTTTCATAAACACTTAAAATGGAATGAGCATGTAAAATGACTGCATCTTCATGCTACGGCACACGTAGCATGAAGATGCAGTCATTTTTACATGCTCAAGTCATTTTAAGTCATTTTTTAAGTCATTTTAAGTCATTTTTTTTATTATTATTATATTACAGCAAAAATATTCAGTATGACGTTTATAACTCCACTAAGCAAGTTCTTAAGGGCTTTCGCTCTGGACAAGAGGATAAACTGCATACTCAATTAACCTGTCAAGGCTCTTTCTTCACTAATATAACAAAGTTCTCACTGTCCCAACTCACTAAAATTTGGTCTGCGTGCCAATCGAACCTTCCGAAAAACATATTCAACTTTACAGTTCGATACATCAATAACTCCCTTCCAACGCGCCAAAACCTTGCAAGATGGGGTTTATCACCGACTTCAGACTGTTTGCGATGTCTAGCTCCTGAGACACTTCTGCACGTAGTAGCTGGTTGCCAATCGTATCTAGAACGATTCACGTGGAGACATGACTCCGTTCTAAACTTTCTCGCTACAAAAGTCCATCAATCATCACTGGTGACACCTACCGTCCAGATTTGCTTCTTTCAACCTCAACCGGAACACTCTATATTGTTGAACTTACAGTTGGCTTCGAATCAAATCTTCAAAAAAACGTTGAGCGTAAAAAATCAATATATAAAAAATTAATTAGGGAACAAAATGAACATTTCAACTCAGTAAAATTTGTAAATCTTTCGATTAGTTCTCTTGGTGTTTTCAGTAAAGAATGTTCTACTTTCATAGAAATGCTTAATGATTTTGGTTTTCAAAAGCAACATCAGAATTACTGTATTAGAAGAATGACGACGATTGCAATCAGAACAACGTATTATATATTTTGTTGTCGAAACAAGGAATGGATGAATCCGGAACTGTTAATTAAGTGTTTAAACGTTGTACTGTCATTTTGTTATCTTAATAGTATAATTTTTGCATATATAATCAGTGATTTAAGTAGCCAGTTGTAAATTACCTGATATAAGTGAGATTTGCAATTGTATATATAAGCTAAATATCCATTTAATAAAGTTTTCATTATTATTATTATTATTGATTCCGAAGTTATCCGATCCTATCGTAAACTTTGACCTTCAGCCCCCAACATATCGCCAAGTTACAACAAACATTATTCGCAGAATGAAAGCTTCTGGATCGCCTTGTCCTTTAGATCAACTTTCAATAATTTGCTTCAAACGTTGTCCATTTTTGCGCACATATCTAACCGAAGTGATACGTAACGTCTGGTCTTCGAAGTCTGTACCAGCTGAATGGAAAAAAGCGTGTTCTATTCTTATCCAATTTCCGCCCAATTATTCTAGAAACTATACCACTAAAAGTGTTTACCTCTTGTCTCCGCAATGCTATGTTCTCGTTCCTAACTGCTAATAACTTTATTGAACATCAGATTCAAAAAGGTTTCACTCCCAATTTGTCTGGCACTTTGGAACACACTGCTCAAATGACAAATATTATCAACCAAGCGAGAATAAAGCAGCGCTCTGTTGTCATCACCCTTCTCGATCTCAAGAATGCTTTTGGTGAAGTGCATCATAATCTAATTCAATCTGTCCTCGACTATCATCACATACCCAAAGACGTTAGTGAAATAATAAAGAGCTTGTATACGGACTTCAATACTGCATTTATAACATCAGAATTCTCTACCCCATTTATAACTGTCGGTCGTGGAGTTCTTCAAGGAGACTGTCTTAGTCCTCTAATTTTTAATATGTGCATCAATACCTTTATGCAACATATAAAAACCGACAAATACCGGCAATTTGGTTTCATTACAAATCTTTTAAACCCAGTCCATTGGTTCCAGTTCGCTGATGATGCTGCGGTAATAAGCGGTCAAGATTCAGAAAATCAACATCTTTTAAATCGATTCTCGATCTGGTGCCAGTGGTCTAACATCATTGTCAGGGTTGATAAGTGTTCAACATTTGGGATCAGGAAAAGTCTGACAAAATCTATCCAATATCTATATATATATATATATATAATACACGCTTGTAAATAAGTGTAATTGCTCTGAAGATGTTGTGAACAATACAACGAAACGTTAGCCAATAATAAATTTTATACTTTGTTATGTCTTGTCTGAAATTCATTTGCTGGGCTTTTTCATTTTTAAATAAACATTTAAAAGTGGTACGGTACCAAAAATTGAGCGTAGTGTAAACGGGGCTAAAAAAGCGCTACACTTTGTGTTAACAATAAGATAACATGCAGACCGTTGTGCTACCCGTCCGCCCCTAACGTCTTGTTTTTGCAACGTAGATTAATGCGTTTATTTTATTTTATTTGTTGGTATGATTTAAATGTAAACATTTAAATTGTGTTTTCCAGGCTAGTGTAAACTCCAGTGATCCTGCAAAGACACCTGCAATGTGGTTGGAACATGATCAAACATCCCAGAGAAGGCAAAACTTAGAAGAAAATAAAACGTCTTTAACATACACAGATCCTCTGCACGTTGATACTTTCTCAGATCACAAGTACAGTAATCGAAGTACATCTTTGAAGAGATGCAGTAGTTCCAGCCGGAATGATACATATAAATCAACAACGCAATATGTTTTCACAGACGTGAAGGAGCGTCATCACAAGAGAAGATCTGGAAACGAGAAAGTTGTTGACGTGGTTCCACCTAAAAGTCCTCATAGTGGTTCAAACAATGATGCCCGTAGCGCACTAGCCAGTAACAAGAATAAGTGGCACAGCATCTACCGAAACACAGCAGTAGACGATAGATGCCAAATGCAAAATTTAAAGAAAAATGACCCAATTGTTGAGGTGGATGTAGCTACTGAAACCTGTTCAAGTGGAAATTTGTCCAGCAATGACTTCACTTCCCATAGCATGCCCAAGAAGAATGTTCCACTTAATTTTGTCACTCGAGAAGTGAGTTGCAAGGAGAATGCTACCGAGGAGCCCAAAGTTTGGACAAGTGCAAGTCCATACAGCAGTGACTGCAAAGAACAGGGGTTGGTACAAAAAGAGCACAAGCTAACCAGTGATTCTTACTCTCAGCCAGAACGTGATAAAGAATCACTGCCAACACTGGCACGGAAGCAAACAAGTTCCTTTGAAGACAACGAAATTGTAGTGAGCTCGAAGAAAAGTAAGTATACAACACAAAAACTGCCACAGCAACGACAAAGTTCTTTGAATTGCAGTGGTGCTGTAGTTAGCTCGAAGAGAAATAATTTTTATGGCCAGTCTAATACAGAGCATGTGAAAAACGGAAGACATATAGAAACAGTTGCTTTCACACAGTTCAACTCAACCGACCAATGGTCTACTGGCAGTAGTAGAGCCATAAAAGATGAAGGTTGTTTGAATGGCAATAGGGCTAATTCTCTTCCGCCTGCTGAAGTTGACTTCAATGCAAATTCGCGTTCTAGCAACTTAGATATATCCGTAAAAGGTAAAGATGAAAATGTTACATTTGCCGTTCCTCCACACACAGTCTCTTCAAATGATGTGCAAGATATTAAAAGTAATGATTTGGTGGAAAGCCCATTAGACAATGTACCTATAGAAACGCATGAAGAATGTTTTTCACAACATCCAAGTCTCGAAACGTGCCAACGGGGTAGTCGACACGAAATAAATGTAGGAATAACCGAGAGCAACTCTGTTGGGTATAGTTCAGCACAAACAGAGAAATTGAAGAAAGGGGAAGATCAGTTAAATAACAATGCCGTCATTGGAGATAATCCTAAAGATGTTGTCAATGAGAACATTACTACTCATGATGCTTCAGAAATCTCACTGAGTGAAGAAACGGAAAGTGTATCTGATTCAATCTCAGTTTCCTTTAAAATGAGCGATGCAACGGAGGGCAGCAAACACAGCAACTGTATCCGTGGGAGAAAAATCCTTGCCTACGCGAGAATTTCAGTTAAAAATGATTCAAACCGTGACAAGCAAATGCCAAAGAACAAAGAAGTACCTGAAAACAAATACCGCGAACATTTAGACATTGGTACTGAAATAAGCGAGGGATATAACGGTGGAGCAGTTCAAGGAGAATATGTTGTCGTCGTGAAGAATTTACCAAACTCTGTGTCCAGCAAACAACTTTATGAAATCTTTAGTAAGAAGTGCCCGGGGATAAAAGAGACCAGACTCACACAACCAGGCTGTGGTGAGGTTGTGTTTGACAGTAAAAAGGATGTAGAAATTTGCTTAAGAAGAAAACATACAGTTTATGAAAAGACGCTACCTGTTTTTCTTAAAGAAGATAAGCCTTCAAATGCCCGTTGTCACGAGCGGAAGAGTAAAGAAAAAATAGAAAAGCAAAAGCTGCCAAAAAAAGAACAACAAAGAAAACAGCAGGGGCAAGACAAGCAACAGATAGAGCAACAAAAACAACGAAAACGAGGAGAACAACGACTACAGCATCAGCAACAACGACTGGGAGAAAAGCAACAACAACTACAGCATCAGGAACAACAACAGAAAAAACAACAGCAACAACAGCAACAACAACAACAACAAAAGCATCAGGAACAACAGAAAAAAGCCCACCAACGACAACAACAACAACAACAACAACAACAACAACAACAACAACAACAACAACAACAACAACAACAACAACAGCAGCAGCAACAACAACCGCCACGAAAACAACAATTAAAACCACCACAAAAACAACTGTCGTCGCAACAACAGCGACAAGGAAAAAAAGACGAAGATAGTGAAAAACTGCTATTTTTGCCTCAACAGCAAGTAGCTCTACAACAGCAGCAACAAGCGAAACAACAGCAGGAACAACGACAACGACAACAGAAGCCAAACAATCACGTAGTCCAGCTTCGTGGATTCCCCCTGGATACCGGTGAACAGGAAATTCGGAAGTTCATTAAAGACCAGTGCGAGGGTGTGGAAATTTTAAATCTTGTTAGAACAGAAGAGAAGTGCTTCTGTCTAAAGCTAAAGTCACAAGACGATTGCCAAAAAGTATACGAAACTTTACGAGGATCGTCTTTTAAAGATGCAGAAATAAAACCAACTTGGAAAAGACCACCAAAAGAAATCAACCAGGACAAACTATATGTTGTCGTGAAAAATGTACATCCAAATATTAGCAAGAAAGATGTAAAGAACTATTTCGTAAACTGTCAAGGCGTTGTTGATATTAACGTAACAAAAGAAGGCAAATTAACTTACGCACTCGTGTATTTTACGTCCGTAAATTCTGCTGGCGAAGCGATAAAGCGAATGAATGGATTTCGTGTTGGAGGGAAAAAGCTTGAAGTAACAGCAGGTGTTGGAATATCAGAAGAATTAGAATGGAGAAAATTAGAACGTCAGCTTCAGGAGTATTCAGAGCATGTGCAGAAGCAGAAAAAATATCTTCTCACTAAAAATGACGAAAAACTGAAAGTTCTTGAAAATAACATCCCTGCTTCACAACCGCAGCGAAAACTGATTTCTCTTGAAGAATTCAATCGTCGTAAAGAAACAAGGAAAACATACGAAGGGAAAAAACAAGAGCTTATTGAGCAAAGAAACGAGTTTGAAAAGAAGTTCCAACAACTTTTAGAAAGCTTTAATCAGCAAATTGAAGATCACCGAAGTGTTAGCAACAAGAAAGGAATCGAAGATATTTTGAAAATTCACAAACATATAACTGACAGGGAATTTAGAAAGTTTAAGGCAAGTTTACCGATTTATGCGAAGCGTACGGAAATCTTGGAAACTGTCGGTGGTAGTCAGATTGTGGTTCTTGTTGGGGAAACGGGTTCTGGGAAAAGTACACAATTGGCGCAATATCTAGCGGAGGAAACGTGGAGTCAAGGTAAAAAGATTGTTGTAACGCAACCTCGAAAGATTGCAGCAATAAGTTTAGCAAAGTACGTTTCTGAAGAATATGGATGTAAGGTTGGCCAAGAAGTAGGATATCATGTTGGTTTAGATAAGAAGATCAATAAAAAGACAATTATCAAGTTTGTTACTGACCGTATTTTATTGAACGAAGTTCTGAAAGGCGGCGAGATGATGCAACAATATTCGTGTATTGTTATCGACGAAGCGCATGAAAGATCTATTCACACAGATTTACTTGTGGCCATGTTGAAGCGACAGCTCACTTTAAGCTCTCATCTTAAGCTCGTCGTAACGTCGGCTACGTTGAATACCGAGGTGTTCCGAAGATATTTCGACAATTGTCCTTTGGTGACAGTGCCAGGAAGGACATTTCCCGTCGAGCGGGTTTATGCAAGGGGAAGACCTGAAGATTATGCTGATGGTGTGTATGAGAAGGTGATGGAGGTTTGTGAAAGCGGAGAACAGGGAGATATTCTCGTGTTTTTGACGCAGCAGAATGAAATTGAGAAGACATGTGATAGGTTAAAGAAGAAATTAGAAACGGGAAGTGCCATCCTTCCACTTCATGGAAAGTTACAATCAGATGAACAACAGAAGGTACTTCACTACTTTTGCTTATTTTTTAGTATATTATACTAGAAAGAGAAAGTTTTAGGTTGCATCGTCGTTTTTCGCGCGCGAATGCATTTCCCTTTGATGATCATCCCAATTGCAACCTTAACCGTAAATATTTGTTTGTGCGAAAAGCATACTAAGATTTGGATTGAGTGCTACATTAATATATATTATACCTCAAAAATTCAATCGAAGTGTCCAATCAGAAAGCTAAGTTTGTGTCACGTGAGCATTAAATTGAGCATTAAATTTATCTTATTCCATATCTGTGTTAAAAGCGGCTTTCTGATTGGTTTAGAGCAGGTAAGCTTTTCTCGAGTACACCTGCCTTTCGTCGAGCACACCCGCGAAACTACTTACGTTTCAATAACAATGGCGAACAAGATTTAGGCAATAAACCTAAACTTTCGGTGACTAACCTACTGAGACTGAAGAAAAACCACAGAAAAAAATGCAATAAAGGTAATTTAGACGTAGATAAAGAAGTATTAAGAAGAGCCCAGTGATTTTTTTAGCCGAGAAAATGTTGACGAAATACCGGCGAATATATCGCAAAGAGCTACAATGTGTATGGGATAAAAACCAAACATACTTGCAGGTTCGGTGAGTCCGGGATTGGACGCACCTCGGGTGATCGTATTTGACGTAGGAGATGATTTCAATTATGTCACCCGGGTGATTTGATCATGTCACCCAGCTGATATGATTCGCGTAAACATACGATACGCAAACAAGATGGCCCTCAAAATAATTGACCCGAGTGCCTCGCCTCTGTAGACAGGGACACTCGCCTAGCTGGGACAGCTTTCTCATGTGAACATTTTGCCCCGGTCAACGTTGTCCCGGGACAATTGAATTTTTGGTAAAACGATCAAAATCGCTGTTAAAATTACATTTAGAGCACGTTGAAATCTATAAGTGATGATTCTAATAATATTAAATAAAATTGTCGCTAATATCATATTTGAAACCAAGAAGTGTAGTGTGCTACTCAAAAAATTTGATCTGGTCAACCAGACAATCATAATTGTGTCTACCAGACACAATTAGCCTTTCTCACGATGACGAATATTCGCCATTTTTGGGTGGCATCTAATTTTTGAAATTTTGAATTTGAAAATAAACTAACCATTTACAAAGAAAATTTACCATTCGTCCAAAAAATTATAAAAAGACGCTGTTATGTGGACTTAGCCTTTAATATCTCACAGAATTCGGCTGAAAAGCCACCCAAAAATGGCGGCGTGAGAAAGGCTAATTGAGCACATTTTACTACGGCTGATAATCAACTATGTTCTTTTTGTAGATATCCTAACATAAAATAACGACTTGCGTTTATCAGAACGTTCTTTATTTAGCAATATTTCAACCGTTTTACGTTGGCGGGAATATTTTATGTGATTCCCGCGTAATGTATTTATAAGCATGACCCACGCTAGCTTTTGTTCATGTGAACAGAAGATATCAGTATCCCGGGTCAATGATTTGTCGCGGGGCAGTTGTTTATCCCGGGATCATGTGAACAGGGCCGGCAGGTACAAAACACAGGTTGCAAGTTGGAATTTCGCATGTCGGGAATTTTGCAGGTTGGAATTTTCCAGGTTGCCAGGAATTTTGAAGATTGATCATGCAAATTTAAAATTACATCACTATAAACGACAGGTACGAAACGCAGGTTGCAGGTTGGAATTTTGCAGGTTGCCACGAACTTTGCAGGTTGATGATGGAAACTTAAAATTACATCACTTATTGCAGTCTGACTCCTTGTCGGCGCTTTTGATATCAGCCTATCCTGCTGCCATGTTCCTAGCCTCTAAGGAGTGGCCAATCCATTACCGTGAAAACATATTTGTAGGTTCAATTCTGCTTAGAGCCACAAGCACAGAAATTTCAGAAGCTGTGGATACAAAGTTGCTTAGGGGGTGTTCCAAGACCACGAGAAAAGCAACATAGCATGTACAGGCCTAGGGACAAGGTTAATGTAAATTTATACTAGAATGTTGTTAAAAGTTAATTAACTAACATTCTCGACTAATCATACGGTATTTGGGGGCTTGAGTGGACTTCTCGTAAGTCGGTGCAGAGGAGAGACACCTCATTCCGGCATTTTCTGAACCGCCGTCACGTCATGTAGGCGCCTCGTAACGAGACAATTGTCCCCCTGTAAGTTCAAGCCAATCTAGTCATTTTGAATGCTTTCACGGGGGTGATGACCACTCCTTAAAGGAGTTAAAGCAGAGGCTAGGAACATGGCAGCGGTAGGCTGATATCAAAAGCGTGGACAAGGAGTCAGACCGCAATAAGTACGCAATTAAACTAGAGGGCACTCAGAAACTGCATACCTCCGCCCATACAGCCTACAGGGCTGCCTCGTACCCAGGCGCTTTAAGTATTTACAATACATGAAGTCTTCAGGTAGGAAGGCGACGCGCGAAGGGGCTGTTGGGAAAGGTGCGTGCTGGGGAGCGCCTGGCAGTTCTTGTATACTGTCATGGCGGACAAACATGGAATTTAATACAAAGCGTCACCATATCGTCATATACTCTTGTGTGTAAAACCTTATTTTCTGACGAAGAGTCGAATTGAACGCCATTGGCAAATAATAATAAATTTGTAGATGTTTGATGACATACAAAATGCGCGAAAAATTATTACTTATGAGTAAATTACATGGCAAGTTAACCGTGCGAATATTTCGAATATGTCATTCGGTATTACATGGAGAATAATAGAATGCTATCAGTTGCTTAATATAAAACAGTAAGAGAGAAATGATTAGAAAGTCATATAATTACTTTTGTATCAATAACTTCTTTAGCTGAAGGCTCGATCAGTCGATCACAATGCCAATGGCAATTTCTATTAAATGTATACTGTAAACAAAAGCCCAAGTAAATGAAAGTTCACAGCCGTAAAGTTTGAAATATTTATTACAACAGTGGAATTTTATAGTTTGTAACTTTAGATAGTTATAGCTTACAAATCTAGTTCCTGCAAGTCTAGTTCTTCAACGCTTCGGTTGTTGACATGTTAATATTGGAATTTCCATGGGCATGGACTTTAAATAAGGCATATATGTCATATATACCAAGAATAACAGCATGAATTCACGCCCAGATGACAGAAGAATATTAACATTAGTCAATTCAACAAAAACAAGTAGCAAAACATCGTAAACGACAACGAATTAAATATCACAACTTGCAAGAAATCGTACAAAGTTGCAAGAAATCGACCAAGAACTGCCAGGCGTCTCGCATTTCAAGTGCACTCTTCCCATCAGCCCCTTCGCCATCTCTCCCCACTACAATACTTCATGTAAACTCGTCATATGCGCATCACTGTTTTTTTACAAAGAGACGCCTGGGTACGAGGCAAGCCTACAGGGTGTATAAACGCGAGTGCATAAAACAAGTACAATACAGCAACAGTAATATGATCTATTCGCAATTCGATTTCAATTCCCAGGGACCTACAATCCAAAGGGGCGTTTAATCCACGTATTTCCCTCATTTCCTATGCACACGCTTTTGTCTTCTAAATTTCCATGGAAAATTTAGTTGAAAACCAAAGATTTCTTTGTCTTCTAATTTTCCCCTGCATACTTGATGATGGAAATTTAGAAGACAAAAGCGTACCTCATTACCTTTCATTGGTGAGCTGTACCTCATCAAAAATCATCGGCACAACTATGGACAGTATCTGACGACACCGTCCCGCACACATTCGAATAATCTCTTTGCTAGTGTTTATTCCGCAATCTTGAACATTTCAATTGTGGGAGAAAATTCGGTTTATGCGCATGCCTAAAAAGAATGAACACGCAGATGTGTTTCTGCGCGTGCGTATTATATGAAAAGTGTTCATCCCACAATCATAAGACAATCCCGAGGGACTTTTATTAAACCTCCCTTGGTTTGCGGGTCATTTACTATTTTACTCACTAATTTCCCTCAAAGCATGCGTTTACTTATAAGAATTGCAAAGTGGATTTCTTAGGAAATTACGAAGTTGCGTTTTCTTATACACCCTGTATTGAAATAATCTATTGTTATTATTAAAATTTGAATGGCCTAGCACTTTGCTGAACGCAGCCATGCGTAACTCCGTAAGCCTACATTGAATTTCGGTCGCGTGAAGACAATAGATAATGAAGGCTGAAGCTTTATCATCTCATTATCCATTGACTATTGTCTTAATCGCATTCGACGCCACCGAAATTCGGCGTATAAAACGTACCTAAAATATTGCCAGCGTGTATATACTATAACTATTGACCTATTATTATTATTACGAAATTGGAATATATTTGTAAAGCACACGGATTTTTAAGCAGCCTCCCTTATATAAGTGAGATTTACAATTGTACACAATCTAAAAAGATTATACCATTAATTGTACACCTTTATATCCTGTATACTGCGTGCATAAATTATACACGTCCTAATTACGCATTCAGTGACTTTTTTTAATTGACCGGGAAAAGCAAGACAAACTTTTGTTCATTTCTCGTTCAATTTTTAACCAAATTCAACCAAATTTTAATCAATTCTTCCTTGGCCAATGGGAAATGCATTCAAAAAATTTCGTATGAATATGTTTGGTATTTTTTAGTTATCGTGCTCACAGACAAACACACATACACACACACACATACACACATACACACACAGATGATCACATAACCTCCTGGCGGAGGTAATTACCAGAATAGTTTATAGTGGTGTAATTTTAAATTTGCATGATCAGCCTGCAAAATCCTGGCAACCTGCAAAGTTCCAACTTGCAAAATTCCAAACCTGGAAATTCCAACCTGCGACCTGCATTTTGTACCTGCCGGACAGGGCCTTAGGAGTGATGAATTATTAAGTTTTTAAACTTCAAAAAAAGCAAATTGAAAAATGTTATCTTTAATATTCCAAACGATATGTGATTCGAAAGAAAAGTGACAAATACTTGCGTAATTAATAAAATAATAAAACATCGGTATTCGCGAAGGTATATGTGGCAAGTTTTATATTCTCGACTTGGAGGCTTTAAATTTTCGGTATAATATATCATTTATAGACCCTCCGCTCGGGGGATTCGGCTAAATATTGCCCTCGGGGTAATATTTCGCCAAATCCCCCT